GAGCCGGGGCGGCTGGTGCCACAGTTTGATGGTGGTGGCATCCCTGGGGGAGAGCGGACGGCGGGGTCGGGCTGGGAAAGCATCCCCCGGATCTGCTCTCTGCAGTTGGAGCCACTCGAGGTACTCCAGCTCCAATTGATGGGGGGGGGTGGTGGTGGAGAAAGACCATTTCAGACAAGACCTGCAATGCTTTTCTGGTTTTCAAAACCATCATGAGGGTGGAGATGAGGAGATGTGCCTTTTTTTTTTTTCTCTTTTCTTTTTTTTAACAGAAACATCCTTCTGGGTTTGTGAGCGGCTGCAGAGCAGGTAAGAGCCACCACAGTCTGAAATGGGGAGAGTTTGAGTGCAAAAAAAAAAAGCAGCCATCTAACTATATAGCTCTGTCACCTGAAGCTGTAATACAGTATTAATGGGAATTAAACATTGCATTAAAGTGTAACTGTTGAGAGTGGCAGAGAGAAGCTAGGTGCAGACCGTGGCGGGGTTTGCTGCCCTTGGAGCGGTTCCCTGCAAATATTTGTTTCTGCCCTTCGCCTGCAGCGTGCAAGGGACGGAGTGCGGGTGCTCGCCCACCCCAGCCGTGGTTTTAAAAGCTCCGGGTGCCCTTCGGCAGTTGGGAGCGCGGCAGAGCTGTGGGTGCAACGCCGGTCCTGGCATGGCTTCTGCTACTTGCCGGTTGTAGCAGACACCTGTTCCTGTGCTGCGGGGACCGTGCCGGGTGTCCTGGGCCATTGCCCGTCCCTGGGGAGGGTGAAATGGGTGTCGTCTTCTGCACCGGAGCTTGTTACAGCCGGGGCGAGCGGAGCGGGGCTTGTTCCCTGCAGTCCGTGGGTGATGTTCTGGGCTGAGGGGGGGTCTCCTTGGTGGCTTCATCCCCCGCCGACCTGCATTTCCCTGGCAGCGGAGGGCAGGCACGCCAGGGCTGCAGGAGCCTGTCCCCGCTGCATCCCCGCTGCATGGCTGCTGCATCCTCCTTGCACGTCGGCCGTGTCCCCTCTGCGGCCCTGCCGCAGCGTGCTGCGATGCTGCCATCGTGTGAGCAGTCCCCGAGCCGCATCCAGGCCTCCTGCCCACTGCGGTGCCTCCAGCCGGGAGCGTTGCAGCCGCCCCGGGAAATGCAGGGGACACCGCAGCCGTCCCGGTGACCCTTGCGCCTGCTGTGGCTCCCAGCTGCCGCGTCGCCAAAGGCTTGTGTGACAAGTTGACTTCTGTTGCCCAAAGTCAACGAAACCCCCCCGCAGCGCTCCTGGCTGAAAATAAGTATTGCCCGTGCCTCAAAGATGAAGAAAGCAGCCAAATAAGTGTAACGCGAGGTAGTATTTAAGACCAGGGTGTGTTTATTTTAGGTCTGACTCGCGGGGTTTGTGCACGTCGCACCGATAACACCACCGTTGTTGTGCAGACGGAGTCACGACCGTGTTTCCCCGGTGAGGACTTTAGACCGAGAAAGGAAAATACCTTATCGCCGCTCCATGCCGGGGCACGAGGTGTTGCGCCTGGACAGCCGGGGTGCCCTGCAGAGGGGGGCACCTGGGGACCGCTGCGCTCCTTTAGCGGCGTGTAAGCAAGCCATGCTGGTCCTGGCATTGTCTCTGGGCGACATTAACAACCGAAGCCGTGTTTACCTGTCGCGCCACAGCCGTGCACTAATAACCTGTAGATCAGGAGCGGGTTTGAGAGGTTGCAGCAGGGAAGCAGGGGTGAGTCCTGGGGAGGTTTCCTGCCTTGGCACTGACTCACCCCATCACTTTAGGCGGGTGATCTCACCCCCCCGGGACTTATTTTTTGCGTTAAAGAGCTAAACCTGTGTATGTTAAATAGCTGAATAAATTGTCAGGACGGTTGGTGGGTTTTGAGACATGGTCGCTCACAGACTGTGGGTGATGGGGGCCACGAATGGTGGCATCTCCCCAAACGCTGGTGTCAAGGGCTGCCGCTGGGGCTACCGATCTATTGCTCGGGATCGCCGAAAATTTGGAAATGTCCCTGTCGTTTATTCCCCCGTTTTCCGTGTTTTCTTTGAAGGTGTCTTCTACTCTTGCTGCTTTGTGTGTACGAAGCCGATGCTGGAAATGCCTTTCTGAGTCCTTGCCTGCACAGCCCAGGGGACGTGGCAGTACCCGAAAGCATCCCTCACTGCAGGCATCCCACGTGGCCTTTGGGACCATCCCGCTCTGCCGAGCGAGCATTGTCCCTGCAACTGTCCCCCACTTCAGCCCCAACATGATGAAGCCACGAGCACCGGCAGCGGCGTAGACTGGGTTGCTCTGCTCCATCCGACCGGGACACTGGAGCTGTGATTAGGCCCTGTACCCAGGAATAAGGTTTCCTTGGAGTCTCATCATCGCTGGTGAGTGATTTCCCGGCATTTTCCCTTTCCCAGGCACAAGCCATCGCTTGCCGTCTGCTCCTATTTCTGCAGAGCTACGTTAAACTTCTGCTCAGCCCTTTTAAATATCCAGCCACACGACACCACCCTACGGCTCTTCTCTTCCAGCCCTGTTAGCCTCAAGCCTTGGATCTCCTATTCCCAAGCCCTCTCTCATCCTGATCAAGCCACTCGCTTCCCGATGGTACGACCCGGGACACAGAAGCCCCAAGCAAAATGAAGAAGTTCCTCAACCCCACTGGCAGCGAGGGGGGGGGTGGTTCTCCTGCCCAGCCAAGCTGCGCTTTGATGCCCAAGCCAGAGCATCACAGACGAGATGCAGCAGCCCCCAGACCAGCGCCAGGAGGAAGCTGCGGGTTACTTATTCTTCTTATTATTAATACAGCAGCTTTACTTACGCTGTTTTCCAGGTTGCAGACGTGCGTGTGGCAGACGGTGACCTGGCGCGGCAGTGTGACAGGTTGTGACCGGAGAGCCGTCCTCTATTGCGGCCTGG